TCTTGAATTCTCCCTTGTGCTTTGGCTTCTCTACATTCCAGTGCAATCTTCAGAGTTTCTTCTGACATCCATTTTGGTCTTCTCTTCCTCTTCTATCTTTGCAATGACCGTTTGCACTCTTCCTGGATACCCTTGATATGCTCCCACAGCTCATCTGGTCTTCGCTCATTAGTTAGTATTCAAGGCCTCAAACCTGTTCCTGAGATGATTCTGAAATTAAGGTGGGATGAAATCAAAGTCATATTTTGGCTCATGTGGATTCACTTTAATTTTCCTCAGCTTCAGCTTGAATTTGCATATGAGTCATTGGTGGTCTGTTCCACAATCAGCTCCTGGCCTAGTTTTCACAGCTGATACTGAGCTTCTCCAGCGGTTTTTTCCGCAGATGTAATCGATCTGACTGCTATGCATACCATCAGGTGAAACCCATGTGTATAACCAACGTTTATGTCTCTTAGAAAACATATTTGCAATGAATTAATCATTGATTGTACAAAATTCAATGATAGGATATTTTTTTTAATGTAGCCAAATATTTATTCCAGAAATTTATATTTTTGAAAAAGAAAGAATACAAAGATCCCAAATGAAGATTAGGTAAACTATGGCATAACATACTCTTCAATACACTCATTAAAATGAGAACTTTGTTGTTTTTAAATACATATACCCAACATGTTAAATATATTCTCTATCTTGATTACAGCTATAAATTTATATAAAAATTTATGAAGCTCTACACTAGTGGGCCATTTTACACATTTTATCGAATGTATTTTCCATAACTCAATTATAAAACAAAGGAAAAGACAGGTGACAAAGCTGTACATATATTGAAGCTCCGCCTCACTTACTGTGGGAACCCAGCCAGGAGACACCAGTCCTTGGAGAAGGACATCATTCTCAGAAGGGTGGAGGGACAATGCATGAGATGGATTGATACAATATTTGGGGCAATGGGGATTGGTCTGTCAGAATTAGTCGGATTTGCTCAGGACAGGGAAGGGTACAGAGCTGCTGCGCATATGGCTGCTATTGGACACAGGTGACTCAATGGCATATAACAACAACATACTATATTGGTTGTTTTGTATTTAAGCCTCTTGAGTAGAGCCAACAATTCCTTGGGGAAGGCCTTTGTATTTAAAAGTCGGTTGTTATTATATTTTGGAGAAACATTCCTCTAAGTGGTACAGTACTCTCCTGCCAATTTGCTGTACTGAAGTAACCTGGGTTTGCTGTGATGCTGAACCTTGTGCCACTGGAGTGTCAGATGGAGCGCCAGTGTGGACAGTGTTTGGTGGAGCTCAAAGTTTAAGATAGGTTTAGAAGAAGGAGTGGCATCCACTTCCTAAACAACATGCTTCTGTAAACTATGAACTTTGACTAACAATGACTGTTATAGAAAGTCTTCGGTTCTTTATAGGGTCACTATAAGTCATGCTCAATTCGATGGCTATCAGCAATAACAAATGAAATACAAAGAAGGTCATTTAGGAACCAGTATTTTTCTTTGCTAAACTAATTTTAACCAACCCTCCATAAATTTGTTAGTTACTAGAATGTGTCAGGCTTCTCATGTAATGCACAAAGATTAAAGTATTGATTAAACTAAACAGTACATAACATAATTCTTTATAAAAGTTGATCTAGGTGTACAGTAAAACCTCAAGTGAGCCATTTTTCTTCAGTGTAAAAGAAAACATAGCCATTGAATTATCAGTTTTATTAGTCATTTAAAGGCAGTTGTTGACTTTATATTATGTTTGACAAAAGCAAATTCATATTTAGTATTTAGTATCTTCAAAGTGATTTAAAAAGTAT